TTCTAAAGAGCCGTCAATTTATGCAGCGTTTTACACATATATTTTGTACTTTCACATCAGTCCCTAACCCTCAAGGAACATACAATCTAAGGTCCCCAACTCACATTCATACATACACATAATACTAGGACCAATTTAGACAGGAGCCAATTAACTTACCAGCATATCTTTGGAGTCACTGTGGGTACTCGTATGTGCTCGCTCCTGAGCCAGCTGTGTCTATAAGGTGTGTTTCAGTCCCACCCCTACTCCCTCGTCGTCACTGGCTGTAATTGACAGCAGCACCAATGGATCCAGCTGCAGTGTCTCAGCCGAGAGAGCTAGAGAACACAGAGACTCTCATGCACAGAGCTGGATGAAGATCAGGCTCATGTAAATATTGGGGGGGCTGAAGAGGGGAGCTACATACTGAAGGTTTTTTACTTTCATGTATAGAACAGAATTCTTAAAGTAGAACTATAGGCAAAACTTTTTTTTTTCATTTTTGATAGAGTAAGGGGGGGTTATAACTTGACAGATTTTTTTTTTCCCGCAATCTGTGTCCTATTGGGGAGATTTCCCTTCACTTCCTGTCCCATAGCCAAAAAGGATGTGATAGAAAATCCCTGCAAATTCCTTGGGGACCCCCAGGTTACCAGAACTAGTGTCCCCATTGGAAAATTTACCCAAAATCTGGGATTTTTTTTTTTAACTTTCAATGATACTGGTACAGGACAAATAGAGAGGGTGAATCTCCTTACAGACAGCAATAAAAACTGACAAGTGTTCTAATCCCTCCAAAATAATAAAAAAAATGTTTTGCCTTTAGTTATACCTTAATAGAGTTGGCCTTTTGTTGTGTGATTTTCACCTAGGATTTTGTTTTCTATTTTTAGATTTTTCCACATTATTGTGGTCACATTTTTTTCTTGTCTTTAGACAGTTATTAATTTTGCTGATGCCTATCAGTAATTTTACTGTCTATATTCAGTGCACATTTAAAGTAGAACTAAATCCTCCTATACTTTACAGCCAAGGAAATTGCTATCTTAACCTGGGTACCTCACAGATTCCTACACCCTCACAAGCAATATGGATGCGGGAATCTCCCCCACTGTGCTATTATATTCTGACAGAGGCAACTCTCCCCCCTTTGGAATACTGTGATCCGAGCTGCAGGCATTGGTTGCAGCATATGAACGCATCTGAATGCACATTTTCCTGCAGTACTTTTCAACAGAAGGCCGTCTAACAATTGGCTTCTGTTGAACAAAGAGGGCTACATACAGATCAAAATTTGCCCGGTGCCTATATAACAGGCCAAATATTGATCCGTGTGTAGCCAGCTTTGGCCCTGGTTTGATTCGCAGTTGTCGTGGTGCTGCACGTGATCAGCTATGACTCCAGCCATTTGATTGCTTGACAGCTTGGTTGAGAGCCAGCATAAGCACACTGTAATTATAACAGCTGCCATTAAAGGCTGTTTTGGGAAATTGTTAAAGCAGAACTAAATCCATGGATTTAACGGTTTCCCAAAACAGTTAATTAGATTCACACCAGTGGTGCAAATTGTAGAAGCAGGAATACTTCGATTCCTGCAGTGACTCTCAGCGGCTGCCACAAAGTGCATCCAGCAGTGATCACCACAGGTATTCACTAGCTGTGCAGACAGCTGTGGATAAATGCGGCTGCCACCGCCCTGTCATAGTGACAGGAGCCGCACCAGGAATGAGAAGATTCCAGCTGCTACAATTCACAAAAGCCTTCATTGTGAATATAGCCTTATATTCAAGGAATGCTGGGAATGATAACTGTCACAGCTACTTCTGCACTCAACCGAACTGCCAATCAAATGGCTGGTGTTATCACTGATCACATGTACAGCACCAAAGCAACTGCAGATCAAACAGAGGCTAAGAAGGCAGATCCCTTTGATGTAAAGGATAGGAGTGTTTAGTTCTGCTTAACACCCCGGTCGCACTGGGTGCAACTTGGCATGCGATTTGCATGCCATGCGACTTGCAAATCGTATGCCAAGTTGCACCCTATTGTCCGTAATTACAGCGGTCAAATCAGTGCGTTTCTGACCTGGTCGGAGCTGCACCATTTCTAAAGTAGTACATGCACTACTTTTTGAGAGATTTGCATAGACATCTGTGTCAGATGTCTTGCAAATCGCACCTGAAATCGGCATGTCCCCCGACTTTGAAATCGTGCGACTTCACTGTAAGTCGCATGATTTCAAAGTTGGCCTTGATGTGACCAGGGTGTTAAAGTGGAACTAAAGTTCCACTATTCTGCACTGAAAAGCCTGCCTGCTCACAGTGAAAAAGAGGCATGCAATGTCTTTTCTGAAATTAAAGCACACCTACCTGCCTGTTTCACAGCGATCCCTGGAATGTAAACTGAGCTGTGCATGCACAGTTCAGCTTACAACAGCTGGCCTAAACCCTATATGCAGGGCTGAATATGTGCAGAAGTGACATCATCCCACGCCAACTAATGAAGATTGCTTAAAACCAGCAGACAGAAGATGCTGGTGAAGGACAGCACCACTGCAAAACGGTGAGTGTTCCTCCCTTTAGTTCCACTTTAACCACTTCCTTCCCAGGCCAATTCTGACAGGTTTTGTTTGCTAGAATATTAGAACCCCCAATTATATAGAGATGAGTGGAGGCTATCTTTCCTCCACTCATCTCTGCGACAGACAGCCGCGACCGCCAGGTTGGATTTCGGTGCTACCGATCATCCAGGTAAGCCCGAGACCCACTGGGAAGCCGCTGCTAAAAGTGATCCAGTGGTTGCTTGGACCATTTTATTGGTTAGAGACTCACCAGCTGAAAAAAACAATACCGGGGTTATAGCCCATTGCTGCAGCCAGTATTCCAACTGAGGAAGTCTTTTGACTAAGGCCCAGTTGGGAAGTGAATAAATCAGTGAGTTTATTTTCACTTTAAATGGCTATTTGTTTTTAATGCCCTGTACTATACAATTTATGGCAGATCTAAAGAAGATTGTACAGTCAGACTGTATAGCATCAGCCAACATGAAGCCTAAAGCCTAGTACACACTATCATTTTTATTTGTTCAACCCAGCGGGCTGAACAAAAAAAAAAAAAAAAAAAAAAAGGAAAAAAAAAGAAGATTGTCCTAATAACACAAGCCATGTTGGTGTTGCAATCTCCCTACTGTGCCTTCGTGTTCTAAGGGGGGGTGGGCATTGTTTAACTGTAGCTCCACCCAAATAAATAATTTTTTTTGGATAGCACAGGGAAGGGTTAACAACCCTGTAATGTCTGTTTTGCTGTCTGTGCCCCTGTTCAGAAAATTTCAACTCACTTTCTGTCTCTGTGACAATTGGATTTTGAAAATTTGGGGTTGTTGTAGATTGGTGATAAACCTTCAGTGGATAAACCTTTTTCCCATGATAAATAACTCTTACAGGAGTGAATTTCCCTTCCTTGGGGAGGATTTCCTCTCACTTCTTGTTTCTCCCTCCATTCAGAAGTACAAGTCGTTCATGACTCAAATGTTTGTAACTGGGGGACTGTCTGTACGTCACTTCTAAAGTTGTATTCGGTCTTACGAGAATTTTCGGAACTTTAGTAACTTGTTCCTTTTTCAATATGGGACTAAAAAGGCAAGCTTAGGAGATATTCACTGTACCTACAAGGTAAGCCTTATTATACGCTTACTTGTAGGTATAAGTTCTAAAGCAGACTTTACTACCACTTTAAAGTGGTTCTAAAGGCTCAAGGTTTTTTACCTTCATGCATAAAGGTAAAAAACCTTTTTGCAGCATCCCCCCAGCCCCCCCTAATACTCACCTAAGCCCCCTCTTGATCCAGCAATGTGCACTGGAGTCTCGGATATCCCTGGACTCCCTCTCCTCATTGCTGAGACAGATGTGGGAGCCATTGGCTCCCACTGTTAATCACAGCCAGTGAGCCAATCAAAGAGGGGGTGGGGCCGAACCACAGCTCTGTGTGTGAATGAACACACGGGAGCAGCAGGTGCCCCCATAGCTGCTTGCTGTGAGGGCACCTGGCGGGAGGGAGGGGCGAGGAGTGTCGGTGAGGCACCTGAGGAGAAGGATCCCGGCTACTCTGTGCAAAACCACTGCACACAGTAGGCAAGTATATATATATATATATATATATATATATATATGTGAGCCTTTAGAATCACTTTAAGGCTCCTTTCACATTGGAGCAGAACAGGACTAAGGTCACATCCATGCCTGTTCAGTTTATGCCGAGGGAACACAGGCAGTCCCCTGTCAGCTCTTTAGGCAGCTGAGTTTAAATGTCTGTCTATATCAGGCTCCCTCCAATCCGGTCCACAAGAACATGTAGGCTTTTTCCGCTTTTCTTTTCTACTCCAGAGGGAGGTGGGTGTAACAGTCACCAGTCTGTTTACATCTTCCTGTCCACAGATCAGGGCCACCTGAAGAACTGACAGGCAGGCATGATCGGATCTCCAGCGTGAAAGAGGCCTAAAATGTAAACAAAATGTGGCGACTAGAGCTAGAATTGTTGGCCCAGTCGGGTGAATATGAGCGGACTGTACTTTTCCTATACAAGGCTGGCACTCTGCAACATAATCATCTCCACTACAATGGATCACTATGATCAGATGTATCATGAATATACTTCATAGAAGAACACGATCCCATGGAGCAGGCAGGCCAGACTAGGAGGTGATCTGTGTACACAGAGCTGTCATCTCCCGTTGAGGCGCAAACACGGAGCATGTGGCCGGGCTGTAAACAAGCGCACAGGGAGGGAGGGGGCTGGGCTCCTCACATTGGAGGGAAACCACAAGCCGTCACTACACACCTCCCTGAACTCTTCTGCCCACCGCCGGTAGCCTCAGGACTGGCTCTCTCGGGGCTGCTCCGGTTCCCCCTGGGCAGGGTCTCTCGGGGCTGCTCCGGTTCCCCCTGGGCAGGGTCTCTCGGGGCTGCTCCGGTTCCCCCAGAGGCCGAGTCTCTGTCAGGACTGGCCGCACACAGCGCTTACCCCGCACAGACGACTTGTCCCGGCCTCACACACAGCTCCAGCACCACTCCGGCCCGGTCCGACTTGACTTTCCTCTCGGGGGGTCTGGGCGGCCTCCCCGCCTCCTCCTGCGGGCCACGCTGCTCTCTGCTGTCCGCGGCGGGGATAGGGAGCCCCAAGGCCAGCACCGAGCCTATCTGCACGGACGCGCCCGTGGAGACTTTCCATTCCAGCAGGCGCATGGGCCGAGGCCCCGGGAAGCGCACCTCGCTCTCCTGAGCCGGGGGCCGCGCCTCCCCGTCCTCCTGCGCTCTCCGCTGCATGCTCAGCGTAGCCCAGGCTGCACAGTAGATGCTAGAATGGAGTTGTTTAGCGGAGGGGCGGAGAGCCAGGGCTCACGTAACGAGTCACATGGCAGGGAGGAGCAACGAGCATCACGGCTCTTCCAGTCCGCTAAACCGTAGGCGCTGGAACAGAGTGGTTTAGCTGAGGGGTGGGGAGTCGGAGGTCACATGACAGGTAGAGAGCCTACATGACAGCGGTCCCAGGCTGTAGGTAGATGATTACCGAGTGTTAGACGTGGGAGTATGAGGAGGAGCGATAGAGCTACCTGAGGGGGAATGGGGTGCGCGCCATTTCTGGAATATAGAGTAGCTCAGTGAGCACACCTGAGGATGCAGCTCTGTGAGGTATAGAGGGAACGTGGGGTGCCTTGTGGGTCACAGAGGGGTGTGGGGAACACGTGACCCGTGATGGATTGTAGAGGAGTATGAGGGCCTTGTGGGGTGTACTGTGGATTATGGAGGGGTGTGCTGTGAGTTATAGAGTGATAAGTGGAATACTGTGTGGGGTGCAGTGTAGGTCATAGAGGGTACATGGGGGATGTGTGGGGTGCATAGTGGGTTATAGAGGGTACACGGGGGATGTGTGGGGTTCATAGTGGGTTATAGAGGGTACACGGGTGATGTGGGGGGTGTGTGGGGTGCATAGTGGGTTATAGAGGGTACACGGGGGATGTGTGGGGTGCATAGTGGGTTATAGAGGGTACACGGGGGATGTGTGGGGTGCATAGTGGGTTATAGAGGGTACACGGGTGATGTGTGGGGTGCATAGTGGGTTATAGAGGGTACACGGGGGATGTGTGGGGTGCATAGTGGGTTATAGAGGGTACACGGGGGATGCGTGGGGTGTTACATAGTGGGTTATAGAGGGTACACGGGGGATGCGTGGGGTGCATAGTGGGTTATAGAGGGTACACGGGGGATGCGTGGGGTGCATAGTGGGTTATAGAGGGTACACGGGGGATGCGTGGGGTTCATAGTGGGTTATAGAGGGTACATGGGGGGATGTGTGGGGTAGAGGGCATAGTGGGTTTATAGAGGGTACACATGGGGGATGTGTGGGGTGCATAGAGGGTACATGGGGGATGTGCGGGGTGTACAGTGGGTTATAGAGGGTACATGGGGATATGTGGGGTGCACAATGGGGGATATGTAAGGTGCACTGTAGGTCATAGAGGGTACGTGGGGGATGTGTGGGGTGCACTGTACCTCATAGAGGGTATGTGGGGGGTGCACTGTTGGTCATAAAGGGTACGTGGGGGATATGTGTGGGGTGCACAATGGGTTATAGAGGGTACATGGGGATATGTGGGATGCACAATGGGTTATAGCGGGTACATGGGGGATATGTGGGGTGCACAGTGGGTTATAGAGTGTGCATGGGCTGCAAAGGTGTGTGGGATGCCCTGTGAGCTATAGAGGAGGGACACGTAGTGTGTACTATGAGTTGTAGGAGAGTACGTAGAAAACATGCGGTGGTCTGTGTGGCATGGTAAAGTGTGTAGTGGTACACATAGGATGCATTCTGGGTATGGGAAAGTGAATGGAAATATTCAAGGTGCTCTGTTGGGTATGGAAGAGTGCATTGTGTACAGTGGGCTATAGAGGAGCACAAGGGGAATGCATAGGGCGCCCTTTGGGGTGTACAGGGGATGGCAAGAAAACGTGGAGTTAAAATCGTGGTGGGCAAGAGTGGAGGTCGGGCACACAGTGGAGGAGTAGAAGAGCATGTAGGGGACAGTAGACTACAGTGGGAGGGAGGTGCAGAAGAGCTTAAATAATTCACAGTGGGGGGCATGGAATTTACACTGGAAATCATGGGGGAGATGAACACGGTGAAAGGAGGGTCAGGAGAATGTAGTGGGTAAACAGTGTTGGTGGGATGGATGGAAGAGGGAATGGCATCCCAATCTTAGTCTGTATTAAGTTGGTCCACCCTTTGCAGCTATAACAGCTTCAACTCTTCTGGAAAGGCTGTCCATGAGGTTTAGGAGTGTGTCTATGGGAAGGTTTGCCCTACGTGAATGCCTATTGTCTAGAGGCTATTCACAAACCATCCTAAGGAAGGCCTTTAATAAGGCTAGGAGGCATGATAGGATCTCTTTGTTATACGATCCACATCATAGAAAGCAAGAAACTACGGGTAAACTAGTAACCAAATTTTCTGCCCTTCATGACCAGCTTCATACTATCCTTTCCAATCATGGGTATCTCCTCACAGACCATCATATCCTAAAAGAAATATATGACATTGAGCCCTGAATTGTTTTTTTGTCGTGCCACTTCTTTGAAAGATCGTTTGACGAGTGGTTATTTATATGAACCAGGGCTTTTTCCGCTGTGGCTCATATCCACGTTGACCCTGGATCCAGGAAGGTACTAAAATTAAATGACCTAATGGTGAATTATTTCCACCGTGCACTTTTGCAGATTGTGGTACCAGAGGTACCATGTGCAGTCATGTTGGAACAGGAAGGGGCCATCCCCAAACTGTTCCCACAGAGTTGGGAGCATGAAATTGTCCACAATGCTGACGCCTTAAGAGTTCCCTTCACTGCAACGAAGAGACCAAGCCCAACCCCCTGAAAAACAACCCCACACCATAATCCCCCCTCCACCAAACTTTACACTTGGTGCAATGCAGTCAGTCAAGTACTGTTCTGAAAACTGCCAAACCCAGACACGTCCATCGGATTGCCAGACAAAGAAGCGTGATTCGTTACTCCAGAGAACACATCTCCGCTGCTCTAGAGTCCAGTGGCAGTGTGCTTTACACTGCTGCATCCAATGCTTTGCATTGCACTTGGTGATGTAAGGCTTAGATGCAGCTGCTCAGCCATGGAAACACATTGCATGAAGCTCTCTACGCTCTGCTGTTGTGCTAATCTGAAGGCCACATGAAGTTTGTAGGTCTTCAGCTATTGACTAGAGACAGTTGGCGATTTCTGTGCACTGTGCGCTTCAGTATGCACTGACCCCGTTCTGTCATTTTACATTGCTGTTCCCAGTTGCTTCCACTTTGTTATAATACCACTAACAGTTGACCGTGGAATATTTAGTAGCAAGAAAATTTCATGGATGGACTTATTGCACAGGTGGCAACCTATCACGGTACCACGCTTGAATTCACTGAGCTCCTGAAAGTGACCAATTCTTTTACAAATGTTTTGTAGAAGCAGTCTGCATGCCTAGGTGCTTGATGTTATACACCTGTGGGCATGGAGGTGATTGGAACACCTGAATCCAATGATGTGGAGGGCTGGCCCAATACTTCTGGCAATATAGTGTAGATCTTTTCCTCTCAGGAATAAATAGGTGTATTACCTTTGATGGGCATCTGATCAAACTTACTATATCATTTTGCAGTATTTTTGTTTGCTGTGCACACGGAAACATGGTAGACTTGTTGCTTTGTGATTGGCATGTAGTTTTGGGTGTAATGTAATCCTGTATGGTAGCTGGTATTGCTCATGTGTGATGACCTTTAACCACCTCCCACCCGCCATATAAGGTAATGACGGGCACAAGGCGGTTCTCTTGTTCTGGGGAGGACGTCATATGACGTCCTACCACTCTAACCGCGCATGTGCGGCTCCAGGAGCGCACGGCAATCAGTGGTGCACTGTATCCCTCGGACACAGCGGATCAAAGGAAACAGCCGAAGACGTCGGCTCGGTCATGTGATCAGCTGTGTCCAATCACAGCTGATCGCATGTAAATAGGGAAATGCCGGTTATCAGCATTTCTCTTCTCACGAGCTGTCACGCTGACAGCTCGTGAGGAGAGGAGAGCTGGTAATCGGCATTCCTCAGAGGGGACATGTACACTGATCATCAGGGCACTGATGATCAGTGTAGCCCCAGCAGTGCCACCTGTCAGTGCTCATCAATGCCACATATCAGTGCCTACCAGTGCACATCAATGCCACATATCGGTGCCCATCTGAGCTGCCTTTCAGTGCCATATATGAGTGCTGTCTTTCAATGCCCATCAGTGATGCCTGTCAATGCCCATCAGTGTTGCCTGTCAATGCCCATCACTGCAGCCTCATTAGCACACATCAGTGAAGGAGAAAAATCCCTTATTTACAAAATTATATAACAAAAACTAAAAAAAATGTTCAGTTTTTGGTTTGTTTAGCAAAAAATAAACCCAGAGGTGATTAAATACCACCAAAAGAAAAGGCTCTATCTGTCTCAAAAAAATAATTTCATAAGGGTACAATGTTGCATGACCACGCAATTGTCATTCAAAGTGCGACAGCACTGAAAACTGCTTTTGTACAGTTCTGCGGGTCCAGCATATAAAGACAAGTAAAGAAGGATTCAAACATGGCTGAAGATAGCACAAGAAATATATCCATCACAGGAGTCTTATACCAAAAAGAAACTAAATGCAAGTATGGCTATGCAAGTACAAACTGCAAGTACAAATGTATGCTTTTTGTCACTTTTCAATTTATTTGTGATATATGTTAGGTAAAAATCATCAGTGGTCTGCAAACTGCGGCCCAGGGGTCGGATGCAGCCATTTGCTTCAATTTATCAGGCCCTTGACTTGAATGAATAGGACACAGGAGTTGCTGTTAATTCTGCTTTTTGTCACGTTTGAAAAAGTGTGTCCTCCAGCCGAAAGCCATCGAGTTCACAAATATGTTATGCAGGGCACATGCTGCTTTAATGTAGTGTTTTATAGCATGTTTAGGTGCATGAAAATGTGCAACAAATGCCATTTATTAAGGATGCCACAAGCACACTCCTCATCTCTCCGTGCCCCGGTGAGGCGATAATTAAACACCCTCCGGCTTGTATTCAATGAGTGACCAGAAAAGGGCTTTAGCAAGTGCTAACCTAGTGCAAATGTTTCATCCCCTACAAAAACATAATATAGAGCAGGGCTCCTTGTTCCCGGTAGCCAGTTTTCTGGAAGGCCCAATCCATTTTCTTGCAACAGCTAACCAAAGGAGGAGTATGATAAAATACTGGGGTCAGAGCTGTACCCATAAGACCCTATATCAATATAGAGGATATGATAAC